TATAAATACTCCAGATAGTGAGATAAAGATGGATTACAAAACTCTTTAATTCTCTAAAGAAAGCTTGTCAATCATCATTTCCTTCAAACATGCTTTCTTATTGATTGTACTTCAAAGTATCTTACCAGGGAAACACTCCTCGATAAAACTCAACTTTCCCTTGGTTGTTCAAATATAGGAAGCGATTGATCATTATGAATGGCAAACGTGAAAGTATTGACCAACTTCCAATCATTTTTAGCACACAAGAAGCTTTATCCCAAATTGTGTTCGGCTTTCTGAATTCTTTTTTGTATTTGTTCTTGTTTTGAGATGTTTAAGATGTTAAACATATTCTTCGCAAATCACTTCCAAAGAGTTCTATCCACATGTTACCCTAAGTGTATCATTTTATTTTATTAAAAAAAAAAAGAAGTGTATCATTTTATTTCCTAGTTCTTCAACACTAAATTCATCTACCAATCTAATGGATTATTTTCTATCTTTCATTGTGCATGTGCAAGCCAGCTAGGTATATTTTCAGCTATCTTACTTTCAATAGATGTAACAACCATTCTTCTAATGTAAATATTTATTAATTTATCTTCTTTAGTTTTTTTAATATATTCATCTTAGAATTACCAATTCTGCCACACTTTAGCTCTAAATGATTTTTAACTACTAAAATGTAAACCAAAAACTTGCTTGGAAATTAAATCAAATTTGACTAAACACAATTTCAAGTCAATTTTGAGACAATTCTGACTCAAACTGTATTCAAATTTTCCAATTCTCACTTGAATGTAGTTTGACTCAATTCAAAATTGAGTTAAAATGAAAATTTGTCTAAAATATAAAAATGTATTCGAAATTAAAAATAAATGACATATAGTTGAATATAAATAAAAATCAACTACGAGATCACTTCAACTAAGAATCGAATTAATATAAATAAAGCAAGCTTTAACTAAAAATGAATTTGATCTCAAGCCGTTTAAAATTGAAATTTTTTATTTTAAGTTGAGCTAAACTTGGTTAAACTGACCTCAATATCATCCATAATTAGGATTTTATACAATTTAACTTTAAATCTCCTAATACTCCTGATGTCTTTGATATTTACCACATTTCTAAGCTTGGTGCTAGACTTAACTATCATATATTTTCTTCGTGAAACAATAATTATACATTTAGTGCAATAACATAATTATATACACAAAAATTTTAAATGCGGTCCTATCGAACAAGATATAAACCCTAAAAGGTCTAAACTAATATGTTTTCAAAGAATGGTAAAAAGGACCATCAACTTAGAAAGTAATAGGACCTATTATTGAAAACATAAACTTAGATCCTCCTTTCTACAAAACAACCAACTTAGATGAACAAGCATCGTCAATGAGATTGCCTAATGCTCATAAATGCTCTGTTACTAAAAACTCTCCTCAAATCCTACTAGAATTCAAGGAAGTGTCACCATATCACCAACAATACACTACCCCAATCACAAATTGCATTGGTCACTGGGACACACTATTGATCTAACTACTTCAAATCAATAATAAAATATTTAGCTTTCTTTTTTTTTTCATGAAATAGATGTCCCACTAAAAAACTTTTAAAAGTACCTACATGCTTAGAATGAAAACATAATGGCTTACATAAGATTACTCGAAAATGTAGACACCACTTATAGGAAACACAATAACACATGTAATCCAAACTTACACTTACATATAAAAGGCATGTGTTTAAATGTCCAGAGTTTAGATCACCTTATAGACAAAGTCTACAAGTCTAAAGAATTCTACTACTACCACAGGTGATTTGAGGATTGGATAGGGTGGATAGCTAATCAATCCATCCATGATAACAATTTGAGCGTTAGATCTTGAAGAGATTAAATCATTAAAGCAATCAAGATTAATGATATTTAAATGGTTTGATATATTGATAAAGAATGCCAATAGCATGTGTAGACTGATTATACGATTTTTTATGATTCTAACGGTTTTCATCATGGCTTTTGGTTTTACCGATTATACGTTTTTTTACTAATTGATAGTATTGATTCATCGACTGCTTTATTAATTCGACATACATACTAATTTACTAGTTCCCCACCGCACTAATTTACTGGCTTTTGTACCATATCATTTTATTGTTTACAGACTTTATTGCTACTGTATGTGAGTTTTACTGCTTCTACATTGATTCATGATTATATAAATATTACTGTTATGTTTTGACTACTGACATGCAAATTAATTATTTATCGTGTTTGGAATCAATTGTAAGATTTGTTACTTGTTGAGTTCTTAAGCTCATTATATGTGGTTAAATGATTTCAAGTCTAAGCAAGGGCACAAGGGTGTGAGATTAATCAGGATCCTTCAAGTTTAGATTTTTATTATTTTAGCTATTCTTTTGTACTCATGACATATTTGTTGTGATATGATTGTATAAATCCTAGTTAGTGTATATAATTTTTGAGGAAATGAATACATATGTATATATTGATGTAAGACCAATAATTTTATTTTCGTTGGTATTAATATTTATAAGAGAATTTAGGAAGATTTGATTGTTGCAATTTAAAAGATAAAAGAATAATTCTTCCAAATTAAACTATGGAGCATCACACCACTGGAGTTGCTTCAACCTTTTCACGAATAAACTCATTTCACATTTTGTTTCTAAGAGTAAAGACACTCATCCGCCTGAGCATCCTTATCTCTATAATACTTAACTTAATTTTATACTTCTCTTTTAATGGCCAACATTCTACGCCATAAAGCATTGTAATTCTCACCAACATATTACAGTCTAAAGTTGACCTCCATAATTAAAATTTTCCTTAAACCCTCTCTCTAGTCTTATCAACAAGAAGAATCTCATCAGCAAAAAGCATATAATAGGGCACATCCTCTTGCAAATGTCTAATAAGAACATCCATGATTAAAAAAGCTGATCCAAGAGAACAAAAAGATTAAAAAATATATAGGAAAGCAAAGATAAGGTACCCTCAATTGCAATTTTTAACATGAACATAATTATTATAACTTGTCAGCATGAGTCTATTCTAGAACTGGTCTCTTGAATGGTTGCAAAATATTTGACACTATAGCATCTATAATTATGTCGGATGAGGGAGAGATTAGCAACGATGGAGTTATAGGTTTTGGAGGTTGACAAGTGGCAACACCATGGAAATTTATAAATGAAAATATATTAGTAGCCAAGCTATGGTATAAAGAAGGCTGCTAATGAAGCTCAGTTCAAAAATTAGGAAAAAGAAATTATCAAACTATGCTTACATCAGCCAAATTTGATAAAAAAACAAAGAGTCTGAATGAAAAACTCAGAAACAAATATGCAAATACAAATGGGTACATCCGAGAGATAAGCAGAAATGGAGTTATAGGCTTTGGAGGAAGACAAGTGGCAACACCATGGAAATTTATAAATGAAAACATATTAGTAGCCAAGCTATGTTATAAAGAAGGCTGCTAATGATGCTCAGTTCAAAAATTAGGAAAAATAAATTATCAAACTATGCTTAGATCCGCTACATTTAATAAAAAAATAAAGAGCCTGAATGAAAAACTCAGAAACAAATATGCAAATGCAAATAGGTACATCCGAGTGATGACAAGTTCACACGTCATGCAAATTTCTAAATGAAAAGATATTAGACAGTCTGATAAAAAGATAACTGCTAATGATGCTCAAGTTCAAACCTTAAGACCATTCAATTATCAAACTAGGCCTGTGGTTGTCCCATTCAGTAAAACAACCAATAGAGCCTGAATAACTGACAAACAAACAAAAATGCACAAGCAAATAGGCGGAATTTAGTGGCACAATTTCAATTAGAAAAGAGAATATGTTATCAAGAAATTACTAGTAAGCATTATTATAAAGTCAAAGATTAAAGTTTAAACCAAATATAATAATTTATTATAACCAATACAAGTCAAAAATATCACTAGACTATGGAGTTGGTGGAGAAATTGATCAAAAAGTTCAGACCAAGCGACCCAAATCAAATAGAGACACTCAACTGAGACATTTTTTTTTCATTTAAAGAAAGAAAATGAATTCTATGGATAAAAAGGAAATATGTAAAGAAATCTAGTCAGCTATCAAGATTTCCATGCTAAGCAATCAAGAGAAAGAGTTCTACAGCTAAACAAGCTCTTTGTCATTCCTGCTTTGGGATAGTTTGTTTTGAGATGAGTGATTGTGATTGGAAATCACTTTTGGAAGTGAGTTGAACCCGCTTTGAGAAGTGAGTTCAAGCATTTGTTTGAAAAAAAAAAAAGAATCAAAGTGAGTTCCTATTTTTGAGCCAACCTGCATAAAGATGGAATCATTTTTTATTTTGTGGGATCATAAATCGCATCCATTTTTGCTTTTGATGTTAATTACAATAGAATAATATAAAATTAGTCACATGATTGGTTAGAATATTAATTTTACTCATAATAATGATAAAAAATTTAAATTTAATGTAGGTAAAATTAATCTCAGTGTAGCCCAAACACAATAACCAATTTATAAGAAGTTAGATTTTCAAAACAAATAAAGATCATTGAACCTCACTTTAATGAAACTCAACTCCATAATTTGGCTCATATCACTTTCAGACACTTTCACAGAAACAAATGAACAAATGGGCCATTTATGTAACAAATCAAATCAAGACGTTGAAGCAAACAAGGTTATGTCAAAGCAGCAATATCCAACATGCATCAAACATGATGACTCACCTATAGTGCTTCAAGGAAACTTTCACATGAAAGAAGGCAAATTAGTGCTTCAAAAACAGTAAGAATAGAAAAGAATTAACTCCTCAAACTTAAAATCTAAAAGTAAATAAAATACAAACATCAACATGAGAATTAACACTGATCTCACTTGTTAAAAAAGACCTGCTTTATAGTATAAGGCAAGTAGAAAAACTTTTTGTGAAGAAATTAAAGAGACGGAGTACTACATCCATTTCCAGTTAGCCAGAATTTTTAACCTTGAACTGCATGCATATATTAATAATAAAGAAATCCAAGTACAACAACTATTGCAACGGTCTTTCCAAGAGTATCAGCAGTAGACTACATGTCAATATGAACAGCCAAAGAACATAATCATCAGACCCTCCATAGAGTGGAGGTGAATCCTACCAAAGTAAATTAAACAATTTAGACCTTTACCTGATGGTCACAAACTTGTTTGTGCCATGCTTGGCCCAAAATAGTTTCAAGTCAATCGGGCTACTAAAATCTTCACCTTCCCCTGCTAGCTTCTCCAACACCTTCTTGAACGCCCCTTGACTCATCTTCCTCCCAGCAATCCGCGCCCCTCTCCTCTTGGTGCTCATCGGTAATGGGTACAATGAAATACTTGTAGTGCAACACGCAGACTGCCACCCACCGGCACCCCACCTATAGCACTGCTGAGGTTGGCCTGTGCAAGTGCAGACAGGTGTTGGCATCCCTGATAGATCTAAATCGATACCATTTATCACCATATCCATGCTCTTCTTTACCGACCTCCCTCTACCAGAAGGATTGACGGACTCTTCCCTTGGGGCCTTAGCCTTCTTGGTCTTCTTCGGCTTCAAGGTCTTGGAAGAGCGCCCCTGGCCCTTTGATTTCTTCTTCAATGGCTCTGCATCAAGTTGAGGAGCAACAGGCTCCTCAAGGAGCGGTGCCTTCTCCTCCCTCGGAACTTCTACCTGCTGCAGCATCTGGAAGGAATGTGCGGACGCTTCGGGCAGAAGTGCTTCGTAATTGTGAGAATGCTGATGATGGTTCCCCTGAAATACATGAAGCATCTTGCTGCTATCTCTGTTGTTATGATACCACATATCCCTCGTAAAGTCCATCGGCATGGTGGAAGGCTCCGTGATTCCGCATTCCCGGTGGAGGTAGCCACCTCCGGCTTCTACGCCAGAGAAGAACGACTTGGTATTCCGTTCTCCGACGCTGGACATGAGTTGCAGACCAAGATTTCCTTTCATCGGCGGCGTCCGATAATACCCTCCCCAGTTTTGAATCCCAAGTGCAGCGTCTTCGTCCATCCAGATCTTGCTTTTGAAAACAGAAACAAGGGCGGAAAAAGATTGAAATGGGTGCGGAAAAAATGGATCTTTGATAGCTGCCTGATCTATCTATAGGGTTTCACTCAAGTCGGATCTCCGGAATTGACAAACCATTCCGACTACACCCGACCGAATCGAATCCAAGAGGAGCACAAAAGAAGACAATTCTAGAAAAAGGAGAAAGGGAAGGAGGGGGTCCTTACTTTGGGGGCTTCTTTCTAGGGTTCTTTGCCGCGACTCGAGGACGAAGAGCAGACATTGACCACCGGATCAAATTTTTGTGCGTATCTATTTAAGAACATTTGTTGATGTACAAAATAATCTACGATTTATTTACATCAATATTATAACGAGAGAAAATATAAATTTAAATTTAAATAATAATAATAAGATAGCTTTTTCTAAGGTCTGCTTTCACAAAATTAAAATATTTTTTAACTTTATAAAAAAAATTTATGATATATTCATTTGATTAATTTAATACTTTATTTTAATACATATATCACTCAAAATATTAATATAAAATAACAAATGACACATCTCTCTTATCCATCTTACCAAATCATCACCCGATCTGATCATTGCTTTCATTTTTTTAAGACTTTTAAGATTTTTTTTTTGACAGATAGGGGATTTTGGATGAAATCAGGAGGAAGGTCTTCCATCAACCATCAGGTCACAAGCCCGATCTTGACTTTTAAGTTAATTAAGACAAATTTACACACACCACATATTCAAGTTTCAAACTCATGCATTTTTATTTAATGGTGAAAGCTCATAGCCAACAAATCAATATGAGTTGCATATCACTTGTTTCTATACAATTTATATATCCATAGTTGTCGTTGTTGCCCGCCTCTCAAAAAAATTCTTATCCAACTAATCCTCCATTGATTTTAAAAATCGAATCAAACCGGCTGGTTCAATCAGTTAAACTGTGAACCGGTCGGCCACCTAGTTCGGTTCCCTTCCTCAAACTGCCCTCGCATAAAATCGTCAAAAAAATTGCTTGAACCATCTATCGGACCGCTGAACCGACAAACCGGCACCAATTTTTAAAAAGGCATGCAGTTCGAATAGGGAGAAAATATGATATTCCTAGATACTAACTACATCTAATTTCGCAAGCTCTCTCCCTCGCGACGAACTATTCTGTGCGGAGTCTGGATGTCATCCAGAGACCAATAAAAAATGACATGTCACCTCAAAAATGTATCGCGCTCGGTACCGAGCACGACACCGAGCGATACCGTACTAGGTGTTAAGCGGTATCGGACGGTTCTCTCATACGGTGTTGGCACATAATAATCTCTCCTCCCTCACAAGCTTGGAGAATTTTCGTCTCTCCATTCCGTCAACCTCCCTCAACCTTGCAGCAACTCTCCTTCCCTCTCCGACCTCGATCTCTACGACAATAACCTCACTGGCTCTCTTCCACCTTCTTTATGGAACCTTTTGCGACAGCCTTGTCTCCCTCCACCTCCACGACAATACTCTCTCCGACATTATTCCTGGATTCTCATTGACCTTGACCTCAGCAACAACCGGCCAATCTTGGTATGAGGAGATGCCATGACATCAAAAAAATTATATACTTAAGCTCAAAATTTACTTAACATCTTCAAAGTAATAGAAAAAAAAAAAAAAGCTCGAAATTTGTTCACCTTCCCCTCTTCACTTCATACGAAGAGCAAATTATAGGTGGGCATTAGGGCTATCAAAATCGGGTTTTGAGTCGAGTTCAGGTCAAATCCGAAATTGACCAGACACTATTTGGCCCGACTCGAACCCGTCCCATTTTTTTAAAATGGGTTAGATTCTAAGAACTGAACCAGACTCACCTTGAGTCTAGGTCAGCCCGCTATGACCTGCCGGTCACATCCTCACGTCGTCACGCAACTTCATGGACACGACAAGCAGCTAGGGCTTCTATGCTTGTTGCTACAGTCACTATCAAATGAGAGAGACACACGCACACACACATAGAGAGAGAGAGAGAGAGAGAGAGAGATCTCCTTCTTCCTCAGCATGTATTCGGCCATTCGCCTCTGCCTGGATGGGAGAATGCCTCGCCAATGAGCGACTGGAGGTCCGGTCGACAGGTCTAGCATATAACTACTGGAAGACTCTGAGGAGTGACTCAAACGGTGTGGCGGTGTTGCCGCGTGGGATGACGTCAATGAGCGACTCGACCATACACGTGGGACGACACAACGACTCGAGTCACTTAGCCAAACACGGGGTCACAACTCACGACCAACGTTGCAACGACTCTACTAAACGCACTCAGTTTTGCAAATGGAGGACCCTAACCCAAAATTTTAGAGTCGGATTTTCATATATGCCAAATATTGACACCCCTAGTGGACATTGAAGCTCAAATTATATGTATTTCTTCATTAATGCTAGATATACATTGCTACACAACCTGATATAATCATGTATGATGCATGGGGTATCAAAAATAGTCAACTGGTCTGATTTGGGCCCGACCCGGAATTGACCCGACCTGAATCCAATCAACTCGAGCCCAATCCATTTGATAAATGGGTCAAAAAGTTGTACTCGAACTCGACCCACTAATAACCTCCATCGAACCCGATAACTCATTATAATTTAAAAAATATTTTTATTAGCTTATTAATCATATATTTTAGGTTAAATAATAAAAAATAAGAAAAATATACATATAAAATAATAAATATTAAATGAGTCAATTTCGGGTTGGCGAGTCAACTTAAATCCGTCATGTTTAATAAATGGGGAGAAATGCACAATCCAAATCCAACCCATTTATCAAACGAGTTAACTCGAACCTAAATATTTTTGATCGGGTTTAGGCCGATGGTGGGTCTAATCATTTATTAACACTCTAGACTATGATATATGCATCATATTATACAATCACTCTTAAAATACAAAAAAGTACTTAAACGCGCCACCACTTCTCACAATTTGCAAAACCTGCTTAGATTTGAAATTTTGATGGTTGGTAGGAGCCAAAATAAAATATTTTAAATTATAAATAATTTTGTAATCGACGGATAGCTGGAGTAGCTCAGTTGGTTAGAGCGTATGGCTGTTAACCATAAGGTCGAAGGTTCAAGCCCTTCCTCTAGCGTTTTTTTTTAATTTTTATACATACAAATTTCTTGCGTATATTTTATTATATTAAAGTGGTTGAAATTGTATGTTTTTTATATTAATAAATTAAAAATAATAAACATATTTGATCTAAAATAAATGAGAAATAATAAAATATTAAGTTCTTTTTATATAATTAATAATTAAATTTTATATGTGTTAATTCTTTTAGGGGCTGTTTGGTTGTCTGAATTAGGAGGGTAAAGTAAAGTAATTACATGTATTTACTAAATTTGTTTGTTTGGTTAATTTTGAGCGGAAGGAACTGAATACCTCCGAAGCATTAGCGGGGTATTAGAAGAGGCAATTCACACGACTTTGAAACCCGCTCAAATTGAGCGGGTTCCAAATTCTTTGAGGTCTGTTGCGGCATGATTTCGCCGAAGCTTACCTATATTCTCCCTTTTTCTCTGTTTTTCCTTGCTCTCTTCTCCGGTCCTTGCTCTCTTCTCCATTCTTGCGATGGCACTGACGTTTTTAAAAACGGGTTAGGTTTCCGGACCCGAACCCGACCCGATTCGGGTCTGGGTCAACCCGACCCGACACGAATGACCCGGAATTGACCCAAAATTGCAAGTTTTCGGGTCAAAAATCGGGTCAATCTTCATTTTTCAGGTCAAAAACGGGTCCAACTCGGATTTTCGGGTCAAATATGAGTTTTCGTGACACTTTCGTGTCAATTTCGTGTTTCCGTGTCAACCCGAACCCGACCCGATTTTTAAAACGGGTTGATTTCTTCAACCCGAACCCCACCCGTTTCGGGTTTGGGTTGACTCGAACCCGAATTTTTTCGGGTCGGGTTCGGGTCGTGTTTCGTGTCGTGTCAAAAATTGACACCCCTACTCATAAGAGTAACACTCATCGAACAATTTTAGTCGTGTTCAAGTAAGTCAAAGATCTTTAATCCAACATCAAAGGTAACTTAGCCCCATTGACCTAACATACTCGGCCCAAGGGAAGTAGGCCAATTACCCTAAAGCATGTTTGCAAGCTTGCTGATGCTACGTTAAAATGCATTCGTTGTTTGCTGACTATTGTGTTACGACCACAGTCGTCTGACTACAACCCTCTGTCCTCCGTCACTCGATTATGACCCTCTGAATGTCGTTGACCCACTATCTGCCTCTGACCACCATCACCCATCTTCATTTCTCCAACCTCTCTATCAAGCCCCCCAAGATCTAAACCAGAAGAACTGCATATTTTTTTCATTTTCTTAATTAAATTCAAAGCTACTAGCTTCAGTTGGAAGCAAAAAAATCCAACAAAAAAATTCCATTTATCTCCAAGCATTTATATACAACACTGCTCAAAATCCAATATACAATAATCAAAAGCCAAGCTTAACACAACAATCTATCCATAAAATTTTTATTATAAAAGAATCAATAAAAATAAAATAATAGTCATGAGAAATTTTGAAGACGATCAACCTCACACTCATGAGCCGGAATATCTTTCTTGACCTAAAATCAATTAACTATATATAATGAGCTTACAAAACTCTATAGGTCACTAAATCTATAATTGAATCAAAGCATGAAAATGAAACATTATGTATGAAATCATTCAGTTCATAACAATACCCATTCATATGGTCATTGAATTTGTGGAGAAATAGTAAAAACATGTGTTGAGTCACTAAATCTGTATAAATCATAATCAATTGTTTATAAACCAAAAGCCAGATTAATACAAGTCAAATCAATGAGGGAATTATATCAATTGATAAAATCAAGGCATCTGTACAACATATATGGAATATGAACACATGAAGTTAAAGTCCCATATAATATTATAATCGTTGTAAAATTTTCAAAAAATATTCAAAATGTATATAATCGTAATATCTAATATATAAAGAATAGTGTGGTGGAAGTCTTATAAGTGCAAAGGTATTCTCGTTTTTTGCTAACCGGGGTATAAATTTGATCGAAAAATTAGATACAATTTTTGTACTTTTTAAAATTGAGATCGATATAATATGACATACGTCAATCGGAACAATACTCTGAACTAGGTTGACGGCTAAAAAGGACAAAAATGGCTACAAAAATCCTCCGTTTCTCCCCAAATCCTCTTCTTGCAACTTTTCTGAATCGAGTTAGAACAGTTTAATCCAGATGTTGAACCTGTACGTGCCACGGGGCCAATCTCCAT